AACGCATGAGGATGAGGAATTTCTAGACCACATCGACATTAATTCAATGCTGTCAGACGAGAGAAAGGCTGCACTTCATGACCTTTTAAGGGAGTTTCGATGTTGCTTCGCCTCTTCTTCTAAAGTCCGTGAAACACACCTCACGAAGCATCGAATTATTACCGACGACGACGTCCGCCCTATCCGGCAGCAGCCTTATCGCGTTTCTGCCAAAGAACGCGAGGCTATTCAGACACAAATAAAAGAGATGCTCGATGACAGGATTATTCGACCATCCAGCAGCGCTTGGTCCTCGCCAGTCGTTTCAGTAAAGAAAAAAGACGGAACGCTGCGATTCTGTATTGACTACAGGAAGCTTAATAGCGTCACAAAAAAGGACGTCTACTCGCTTCCACGGGTCGACGACTCCCTCGACAGGTTACGACGCGCGAAGTATTTTTCGTCCATCGATCTAAAGAGTGGCTATTGGCAAATTGAAGTGGATGAACGAGACCGAGAAAAAACCGCGTTTGTGACTCCAGACGGTTTTTACGAATTTCGAGTTCTTCCCTTCGGCCTCTGTTCTGCACCAGCCACTTTTCAGAGGATGATGGACACAGTTCTCGCTGGCTTGAAGTGGCAAAGCTGCCTTGTCTACCTCGATGTGGTCATCTTTTCTGAGAGCTTCGAAGAACATCTGAAGCGTCTGAGAAAGGTTCTGGAAGCTATTCGCACAGCTGAACTCACGCTGAAACCTCAAAAATGCCATTTCGGCTATGAAGAGCTGAAATTTCTGGGACATGTCATTAATTCGGATGGAGTGCGACCTGATTCAGACAAAATTGCTGCTGTCGCCGACTTCCCTGTTCCATCAGATAAAAGAGCAGTACGCCGTTTTCTCGGCTTGTGCGCATATTATCGCCGATTTATCGCCAACTTCTCGAAGATAGCTGAACCTCTTACGCGGCTCACCCGAGATGACGTGCCCTTTACTTGGGGCACAAAACAGGATACAGCGTTCACAGAGTTACGACAGAGAATGCAAACAACCCCTGTTTTTGCCCATTTTGATGAGGACGCTGCTACAGAAATTCATACAGATGCCAGCAACGTCGGACTTGGCGCTGTTTTTGTACAAAGACACGGCGGTGTTGAGCATGTGATAGCTTACGCCAGTCGTACTCTTTCTCGAGCCGAGACCAACTATTCTACGTCAGAGAAAGAATGCCTCGCAGTCGTGTGGGCGACGACCAAATTTCGGCCTTACCTCTACGGTCGTCCCTTCAAAGTGGTGACTGACCACCACTCGCTCTGCTGGCTGGCAAATCTCAGAGATCCATCCGGCCGTCTCGCACGGTGGAGTTTGCGTTTGCAGGAGTTTGATATTACGATTGCGTACAGGTCAGGGCGCAATTACGAAGACGCCGACGCGCTTTCTCGAGCACCTGTGGGGAACGCTGTCAGGGGCTCCAAAGATGAAGATGCCTTTCTCGGAGCAGATAGTGACTCCGAATTTGTGTCAAAGCAGCGGGCAGACGACGAATTACGCCCAGTCATTGATTCCCTGGAAGGCCGCAACTCTCAGGTCCCTCAACACATTGCTCGCGAACTGTCCTCTTTTTGTCTGAAAAGAGGCATTTTTTTACAAGAAAAACACCCGTGGTAGCGACAAAGCCTTCCTACTCGTTGTTCCTACCGACATGCGTGATGAGATCCTCCTTGCGTGCCACGACGAGCCCACGTCAGGACATTTGGGCTATTCGCGAACTCTCGCCAGAGTACGCCAACAGTACTACTGGCCACGACTATCAACAAGTGTACATTGGTATGTGAAAGGCTTCCGTGAGTGCCAGCGCCGCAAGACTCCGCCTGTGAGACCCGCGGGCCTACTCCAGCCGATCGCACCACTACGGACACCGTTTGACCTCGTGGGAATGGACCTTCTTGGGCCCTTCCTTTTGTCGTCCTCTGGGAACAAATGGATTATAGTTGCGACGGATTATCTTACTCGTTATGCTGAAACAAAAGCGTTACCCCGTGGCACGGCCTCTGAAGTCGCGCAGTTCTTCGTGCACCAAATCGTCCTACGGCATGGTGCCCCGTCATGCGTGATTACGGACAGAGGGACGTCGTTTACAGCACGAATGATGGAGGACATTTTTAAACTGAGCTGCACAAGTCAACGAAAAACAACGGCTTATCACCCGCAATCCAATGGACTGACAGAGAGGCTTAACAAGACCATAGCGGACATGCTGTCAATGTAAGTGAACGTACAACACAAAACTTGGGACGAGATTCTTCCATACATCACGTTTGCTTACAATACGGCAACGCAAGAAACAACGCGATTTCCGCCTTTCCGACTGGTTTACGGACGCAACGTGCGAACCATGCTCGATGCTATGCTTCCGTGCGACCAAAGCGATCAACTTGCTCAAGACGCTGAGCAATACACTCAATACGCCGAAGAAGCTCGTCAGCTAGCGCGCATAAACACCAGTCACAAACAAGATGCAGACGCACGACGTTACAACCTCCGCCATCGAAATGTCACCTACCACCCTGGGGACCGATTGTGGGTGTGGATCCCTGTCCGGTGACCAGGCTTATCCGAAAAACTCCTAAGCCGTTATTTTGGACCGTACAAGGTTCTTAGACGAGTCACAGATGTTACCTACGAGGTATTTCCGGACGGCGCAGCGTCTTCTCGTCGACAGCTTCGGCCCGAAACCGTGCATGTCGTTCGGCTGAAGCCCTACTTCACACAGGAGCCCTTGTGGTTTCACGTGCTACGACATGCCGTGACTTCGCGTTGCTGCTGCTGTTTGTGTTCTCCTGTGTTTTTATGCCTTTTCTTTTTGCGCTTGGCGCAAGCGTTCGCGAAACTTCCTCATTTGCGCTGCGAATAGAAGCACTCTCCCTCTTTTGGTTCTTTATATCTGCGTGTTTATACCTTCATTTTTTTTTTATTTACGAGCATCGAGTCGATGCTTTCAAAGGGAGGGGGGGGACTATTGCCACATGGTTTGCTTGGCTGAGATTGAAGAGTGAAACAGGAGAAAGACGATCTCTCTGAGCCGCTGCTTGGCTAGTCGACTCAACGAGCCCATTATATCAAGTTGTCGTGAGTAACGTGACACTATATTCTGCATGTTCGTCTTTTACCAGAAAAGGCATACGTAAGTAATTCTAAGGACCGTAGCGCTTAACACGCTGCGCTGACCATGCAACGCTTGCACTAAAAGGCGAGTGTTTCCAACGCTTTGCTAAGACGACACGGTGGTGGCACCTAGCCGTCACCTTGCGTTCTACACCTTATCCCCTCTGAGACAGGCGCGCACACCCGTCTCAACGCCACGCGCTTTGTTTTCAAAAAAACTGCTAGATGGCGCTCATGTCTTACGTGTGACGTGACTTGATCCGCTCGCTGCACGCTCGAGGCACTCTAACGCAGCGCCTCCGGAGTACATTTCACCGATTTTCTTGCGCAGAAATTCAAATATTTTGTTCAGTCTCTCCACACGCAAGACTATCGTCTTTCAACGACATTTGCAGATTACATGCAGATACAGGGCCGATTTCTACTTGTGGTCCCTAGGGGCGCGTCAGTCGAGAGTTATTTGAGATCTGCAACTATACAAGACTATTTCGGAGCTTATGCAAAATGTCGAGTTGTTGCATCGTCCATTACAGGTGACCCTAAAGACCGACAATATTAGAAAATGAAGGAGAGAAAGGGTAACCGGGGTGGGGGGGGAACGTGTCAGGCATCTAAATAGAGGAGGCGTTGAGTAATGTTACTCTATGGCAGCAGGAAATGCAGCATGTCGCGTTGCGCGCCAGTTGCCGTCGGGCCGTGCCGACGGACGCTGATCGCGCCTGGCATCAGACTATGGAGTGCTCCCGTTTTGCTAACGTAGCGTCGCTGTGCATAGCGTGCGCGCGCGTCAACGCTACATTGGAGTATATTGGGCCCTTCATGATGCCGTTTTGCTAGCTCCACATATAACGAATTTGGTGTTACGCTACGTCGATGAATGAAGAAATATATGACTGGTGCAAACATTATAATCCTGAAACGCGTGTCATGTAAGAACATGACAACATACCACGCTCATAGCGTGCTCACGGCCGTTTCGCTAGCTCAACATATACTAAATTTGGTATCACGTGACGTGAAGAGATGACGAAGGTAAACGACACATCCAAACATGATAATCATGACACGGAAGTCTTGTATGGTATAATTTACCTCCACCTCGTAACGTTGTACTGATTTTAAAGTGACATATCAACATTTCTCATTCATGCTTCGCATATCATCCATTCCAACTGTACGTGGTATCTGCCAATTTTTTTCATCACTGCCACTCACGACGAGCAAATCACACGTGTTAACAAACAAAAATCATGCATTACAAACAGTGATCTCTGATAGATAGATATGTGGGGTTTAACGTCCCAAAACCACCGTATGTTTATGAGACGCCACAGTGGAGGGCTCCAGAAATTTCGACCACCTGCGGATCCTTAACGTGCACCCAAATCTGAGCACACTGGCCTGCAGAATTCCCGCCTCCATCCAAGCAGTGACACTTTCGAGAGAGAGAGAGAGAGAGAGAGAGAGAGAGAGATAAGTTTATTTACAGAAAGGCAGAGAGGTCGGCCTGAGCAATAGCTTGCTCTAGCCTGCTACTCTACGGTGACATTTTCAATTTAAAGCTAACACAATAGGAAATAGCAATTATGTCGAAGGAATGTCGACACACGCAGCGCTTTTATGCAGAAAGATTCTGCTGGTAGACCTTCTTGCCAACCAGTACCTGCTCCGAGAGAGAGTATGGTGAGTGGGGTGCCCGCAGTGACGTCACACTGCAAACAGGTAGAGGTCTATTTTTTCTATAAATTCATTAAAGTTTAATTTGGATTGTTATTACCTCGAAAGCTTTTACTCAGGACAAAGGCTAATAATGAATCCCGCAGAAGTCAATAAAAAGTTTAGTCGCAGCTGCACTCACGTTTTGTGGTGATCGTGGGTTCTGGTTTTGTATCCGATCCAACGTCGAAGATCTTGTTCTCCGGGTCAATGGGGGTTTCTTCAGAAGCAGTCAGGTTACCATCTTGCGCGTCTATCATGAGCTGGAGAAAATCTTCATAGCGCTGGAAGTAAATGAAATGCTCTCAAATATTCGCATTGTTTGTGTAAAGAACCTGTATGGTTTACACACCTAGATGAAGAGATGCGGTGAACTGCTGCAGCGTTGTTATGCATCTTGTACGATCGCGTAATAGAGCGCGAGCTGCAAGATGTAGATCAAAGACGCTCTCACTCGTAGCGAAATAGCAAAAAAAAAAGTATAGCTGCTGAAGCCATTCTACAGCAGAAGTTGCACGTGGGTAGCGAACAGCCTGGAGTGTAATTTAAAATGTACCTTCTTGCACGTTCGCAAGCAGTGAAAAGAAAAAAGTACAATGTATAGCTTTTTCCAGAGGTGTGTTTCAGCCAAGTTCTACTTATTTATGAAGCCAATCGGCTGAAAAAAAAATTTTAAAAGCGAATAAGCACTAGAGATAACTAGTCTACATTATAAATGACTCCGTATAATCACGTGTGCACATTTCAAGTGCTTCTTGGTTACCTTTTTATGATTAAAATTTCAGTAATAGTTTGCCTTGCACGAACACTCTTGACTCCAATTGACAAAAGCATTCGTTTTTGTAGGGACATAACAAAAACTTTGTCCCAACACAAATGAGATCAGATAATTATTAAAACATAGTGGTTAAATAACGAAAAAAACATGCACTAACCCTGGGCACTTTCGTATTACTGGCGCGGACGATAAATCTCGTGGCACCGCTTTACTTATTCAGGTTATTACACGCCCCCTCACAAGATAAGTAAGTATGTCAAGTTTTAATGAAAAACCTTTATTAGCGAAAGTGGTTTGGCTGTTCGTGTACAGAAAGGTGCAATAAATGTAAGTCTTGAGAAAATCAACAAAAGAGATTTTATACAGCTGCTGTGCTCACACAAGGTGATTAGGAGCACCAATTTGCTCGATATTTGCAGCTAGTTCCATCCTGCACCTTACTATTGTGTGCCTGCATAAAAGGCCAACGGGCGTGTCTGAGCGCAAACAATACATTTAGGACCTGGCGCATTCACCTGGTGAGAACTTTATGACTTTTTGTTATTCAAAATAATGTGTTTACAGTGCTATTAGAGCATTGCTACATTTTCGCACTTGGTACGATTGTTAAGTACCCAACCAAATACTACATATCAAGCTAATCTTATGGGAAAAACAGTAAATAGGAGCCCTAAAGCTTCGCCTTTAGGAGTTCAACGCAATAACGATATCCTGCTTCTTGTGCGTACTTCAGAAACTTATTGCAGGAAACCTTTTCAAACTTGCTACGCGCCCACTACGTGACAATAAGCATGTTAGGCGCAGCAGCACGTGCGCTTTTTGAAGTGGGTGACCGGCTTTAAGCCATGAAGCTACTAGGATGATCACGTGTTCTGACGCCCTCTGGCAACAGGAACTCGTATAACGCATTATTACTTCAATATTTCATGTTGCATTGTGAAGCATGTATACAGGACGCGTGTGTATGTAGAGCATAAAGTTTACTTTCAGTGAATGTCCAAGCCGAGAAAGTTCTTTTCACTGTATTCACAAGCAGACGCGTGGCCATGTGGCTGAACATCCCCTTGCCGCGTAAACTTCCCAAGTGTGATCCCCAATGAGACTCGAACGACCCTGGTTTGGATCCCACTTTGACCCAGGTTTTTCTCTTCAATTATCTTTATTTGCATCATTCTCTATTTTTCGGTCATGCATAAGATGACCGTAGAGTCGTTTTTTGCTCACAACAACGACACCGACGCTGGAATTTCTGCGAAACGAGCTTGTTAACGCTATCGCATTAAAACTGGCACTTTTAGTATCCATTTCGTAGGAATGGGTGGTCTCACATTTTTTTCTTGTGCGTATCTTTTGAAATAAACTGCGTAGGCAGGGGGTGAGAAAAGGAATTAAATAAATATATATACAAAATATACAAGGACAGTCAGAGGCAGCTGCAGCCAAAATGTAGATGTAGATGTAGGTGTAGATCCTAAACTTGTGGCTCGCACAGCATGGATGGAGGAACAACAGCAACAACAACACGAGCGTGATCGCATTCATCGCCTTCGTCGTCTACCTGATGCTCTCTCGTTGCCGATGTCGTGTAACTATATTATGCCGCAAAACAATGGGCAACAAATTGCAAATTTAACAAGACCAGAAAGCATAAGTGTCATTCTAAAAAAATTAATTTGCTTTTGCACTTGGACTCATACCTTAAATCTCCTCAAGCACAGTTTACAATCACAACGCAAAAGTTTTTAAATGAGCCATGAAACCTTGAATTCCCTTGAGACTCATCTAACCTTAAATTGTAGGCTTTCCTCTGCAAAGTTAGACTCGCAAAGAAAGAGTGCGTTCCGCAATACACAGAGTACACGAACCTTGCCATTGGCCCGCCTGTCGTTGATGATGCGCTGACAGACTTCTTTGAAGTACCGAGCGGGTCCCCCTCCGGATACGCTGAGTTTCATATACTTGATCAGGTCAGGAAAAAGCACTGAAAATTGGACGTGTCGATTCTTTATGGAATCTAATGAGTAGCGGGACGTAATCACGTAATTATTTACGTAGTTGCGCAATTGTTTTGCCTCTGACATGATACACAAGTTCTGACAAAAGGTCCGTGCTGTAGCAGTTGTCGCGAATGCATAGAAGCGAAACTTACCAAAGAAAAGAATTTTCCCCGACACTTTCGCTGAGAACGCCTTCCTGGCCTCGGTCACAAACTCGTTAGTGGCGTCCGAGTGAGAATCAAGCGTCGTCCCGAAAGCACACCTCGCGATCACGTCCAACGAGTAGTGACCGTAGAATCTGTCAAGTATGGGATGTCAATGGGAGCTAACCAGCGCCGCAAAAAGGTGTGCTTCAGGAAAAAAATGCTTCTAAAAAGTTATCCAAGCAGAAATATTGAGTGCTATTCATTTGTTCTAGCTGAGCATGACTGACTGCTGAAAAATAGAGGTCGACAAATAGAAAATCACGTGATTGTTACATTGAGCTCTCGCCAACCTGAGCAATATAAGAAGCAGATTGCTTGCAATATTATGAAAATTGTGTCCTTAGAAGTTACTTTGTTATTTAGTTAGTTATTTGGTTATTTAGCTTTGATTGATTGATTGATTGATTGATTGATTGATTGATTGATTGATTGATTGATTGATTGATTGATTGATTGATTGATTGATTGATTGATTGATTGATTGATTGATCAGTCAGTCAGTCAGTCAGTCAGTCTATTTGTCTGTTATTATGAATGTAGGCTCAAACGCATAACACATTGTGTTGCAAGCTAACACATTGTAGCACAGAACCATTGTGTAATACACATATTTATTCCAAGCAGAGCAGAGAAGGGACACAGAAGAGACCCTAGAACATGCGCTAACTCGCAATAAGATAATTCTGCGTGAACGCGCAATATTTAAGTAGAAAATACGAGCAGATACGTAATAAAAAAGTCTCATCTTGAGGAGCGTGGAAGTTGCAGCCTGGTGAGCCAGATACACGTGGCAGAGTTATTAAAGACGATACCCTTTATTGGGATACTCCAACGCAGAAGTCTTCGTCTGTCTGCCCATCTGTGTGTCTCTTTCTGCTGCTGTCACCCGATTCAATAGAATGGTGAAAGTTTAACCCCTTTCTAAGCGACCAGCCATCTTGATTTGTTTTTGCGTTATACGTGCTGACATTGTCAATAAAAAAATATACTGCGCATATTTTGGTGCAACATGAGTACATGAACATTAGGTAGTGTAACTTTATTTCTTAAATGCATAGATGCGTAATTATAAAGACCGCAGTGCTTATTACGTGGCGCTTGCAATACGACACCATGACTGAAAAACCGGATGTTTCCTACGCTTCACTGAAACTACAAGGTGCTGCCGCCTATCAGTGACTTTGCGATCTAGAAAAAAAATTGGCAGATCCCACGTACAATGGGAATTGATGATATGCGAAGCACGCTTGAGAAATGTTAATATTTCCCTTTAAAATCAGCACAGCGTTACGAGGGAGAGGTAAATGATGCCGTACATGATATCCGTATCATGGTTATCATGTTTGGATGTGTCGTTTACCTTCGTCATCTATTCACGTCACGTGATACCAAACTTAGTACATATGGAGCTAGCGAAACAGCTGCGAGCACGCTATGAGTGCTGTATGTTATCATGGTCTTACATGACACGCGTGTCAGGATTGTCGTGTTTGCAGCAGTCAAATATTTGGTCATTCATTGACGTCATCTAACACCAAATTTGGTATATGTGGAGCTAGCAAAACGGCCGCGAGCACATCATGAAGGGCCCAATATAATGTAATGTAGCGTTGACGCGCGCGCACGCTGGGCAAAGCGACGCTACATTAGCAAAACTCGAACACTCTACAGTCTGACGCCAGGCGTGACCAGCGTCCGTCGGCGTCGCCCGACGGCAACCGGCGCGAAATGCAACATGCTGCATTTCGTGCCGATGCATTACCCAGACAACACTGCGTCTCCCTCTTTTCGTGACGGAGGGACGCCGGACGCGCTGAAACGCGCATGCGTCAAAGCAACGCAGCGCGGCGCGCGCCTGCGAGTATATGGCAGGACCGGCGCCTGGCGTGGAAACGCCGGTGTGACGCGACGAAATGAACGCTGGCGAGCACGCGAACCACGTAACTTCGAAATATATTGGCGCTTTGACTGTGGCATGTAGTCATGTTGTTACATGGCACTCATCTCATGTCTATCATGTTTGCACCAGTATCATACCTTTGTCATCCATTGACGTCCCTTAATACCAAATTTGCGATGGATGGATGGATGGATGGATGGATGGATGGATGGATGGATGGACGGACGGACTGACGGACGGACGGACGGACGGACGGACGGACGGACGGACGGACGGACGGATGCGCTCAAAGTATCTATCTCCTGCGTGTGACCATAGTGTAGTGAATAGCGTGTGCCGGACATTTTTCGTGTACCATGAGATTGTGAGCTCAACTCCCATTGACGAAACTTTTTGCTTGGAAATCTTTCTTTGCCATCGAATCGTGTGCATTTTTGACGGCATTTCCATGACACAACTATGCCACAGAAATTTTGGCGAAACCCAACATCAAACACCTTTATGTTAAAAGCACAGCCAAATGTTACGCCAAAGCCCAAATCCATTAGTGAATTTAATTCGTGGACAAAGTCCTAAAACTCATTTTTTGATAGAACACTGCCAAACTAAACTTGCCAATTAAATTAGGGGTGATGCAAACAGATGTACATTGCTCATGGCCGTGGCTCCTCCCACAGGGTCACTCGGTGCTTAGCAACTTCGAAATGCATAAACTGAACAAACATTAAAGTAATTCAGGGTGGTTGCCTTTATTCTTAAATATACATACTGCTTAACGTCTATGTCAGCCTGTTCTTCCGCCGCCGCCCTCAAGTGCTTACAGGTAACCCTGGCACAGTCTTGAATTAAAGCGTTCATCTGAAAAAGTGGTCAAAATACAAAATGGTAAGATATAGTCACTCTGCATAAAAATATTTAGGGTTCTTTTTCTATTCTGAATAGTGCTTCCATTCAAATTAGTCGCAACAACCAGAATGTGGAACATGCGGGAATGATGTCAGTGGCAGAGTTTCACCAGAAAAAAAAATACGTATATATCAATAATGTTGCACACGTCTCTTTTATTATGTTGTAGTAAAGAGATGTTGGCGCTTTTGTATAGCGTTAGCTAGTACTTCTCATAGGTAACAGGAAACTTAAAATCACAGAAGCTGAAACAAAGTTATGAAAGGGCAGCTTGGCAGAGTTAATGTAAGCCCATTCACATAAGAACACGAAGTAAAAACACAAATTACAGTATCGTCACAAAACACTATAGCTTATATAACACGCATGTCACACGAACACCTTCAATGCTACAAACGGCACTACGCACCGTCCACGCACACACCATCACTGATATTGACAAAGTGCAGTCATAGAGACACAATATAAGCCTTGCGTGAAGCGACACATAACGCGACACGATCAGTTCAATATCTATGCATAAAATCAGCTTTAAAAAACATTCTCCTAATTTCCACGCATACGCTTTCTTTCTGGGATTTTGTTTACTACTATTAGTGCAAGTTTTTGCAGAGCATTGTTTGCTCATGGACACACGATCTTTTGTGGTACTCGAGTACTAGTATACATAAATGCCGCTAAAAGTCGCTAGCTGACTGTCATGAGGGTCCTTGAAAAAGGTGTGTATTTTCGTCTCTCTCTGGTCTTGATGAGAATGAAGCGTCCATTAATCAAAAAATACCCTTGATAATTGTGGTTCCTATTCAACCTCATTTCGACATGAAGCTTCCAACAAAAGGCAATATAGAACATCACCAAGAAGAGGCCCATATGTCTGGGACATTTGTACTGCTGTATGAAGGCGACATTGCGGTGACCTCACTACAGCCTGGGAAGAACAATGCTGAGTGCAGCTGTAAATACAATCATGGCCTCCGAAACGGCGGGTGCGCGCCGTCTTTTTTTTTTTTTTATGGCTGTCCCCATTGCATGGACACAGCCTGTTTCCAGAGGTGGGCGTTGTAGTATCGGCAACACGGTGCAATTGGGGACAGCGAGCACAGTCAACCCATGCTCCACTTTAACCACTTTATTCAGGTGACAGTCATATTAACGCGATAGCGTTAAAGAGCTCGTGTCGCAGAAAACCCGCCGCCGGCGTCGGCTCCGTTGGTTGTGAGCGAAAAATCGTCTGTGACTAAGAAATTAAGTTCACACTGTGAAAGCCGCGCATTCGAAGAAAAAAAGATTGGCCCCATATCGGCAAGTTAATCTGCAAATTTCGTCGAAGGACGATAGTGTGGAAAGAAAGACGTTGTGGAGAGAGGGAACAAAACATTTATTTGATGTTCTGCGCAAGAAAATCGGTGAATGGTATTCTGGAGACGCTGCGTTAGAGTGTCTCGAGCGTGCAGCGGAGGCGAACGAGAGCATCAAGTCACGCCACACGTGAGGCATGAGCTCCATGTGGCAGTTTTCTTGGAAAACGAAGCGCGTGGCTCTGAGACGGGTGTGCGCGCCCGTCTCAGAGGTGATAAGGTGTAGAACGCAAGGCGACGGGTAGGTGCCCCCACCGTCTCGTGTTAGCAAAGCGTTGGGAACACTCGCCTTTTCGTGCAAGCGTTGCATGGTCAGCGCAGCGTGATAAGCGCCACGGTCCTTAAAATTACTTATGTATGCCTTTTCTAGTAAAAAAACGCACATGCAGATTATATACGTGTTGTTATTGTGACAGACACGCACAATAATGCTTTTTAATTGACAATTGCACAAGTATGAACGCTAAATCTTGAACAACATTGGTGGGCGCTGCAGATGGGGTCGGCCGTTTCAAGTACCCGGTGCCGTTAAGAGTGGACAAACAGACAAATGTACAGACCGACAGACAGACAGACAGACAGACAGACAGACAGACAGACAGACAGACAGACACACAGACAGACAGACAGATCAAAATTTTGCGTCGAAGGTCCCCAAGAAAGACTATCGTCTTTCGAAAAAGTGCTCAAGCTCACAATGCATGGTAGTTTTTTTTGCCCTGCCACCCCTCCATGCTTAGCTTTCAGCGTTTTCGTCGGGACGAGAGAAGAAATAATGAAATTGCAACATGCGACGAACCTGTGTAACTCCACTTCCACTTGACGGATTCTTAAAATGTTTGCGGCGTTGAATTTGTGGGGAAATAAGCTCTTCTAGTGAATTCATTTCATGATTATTTGAAAAAGTGTTTCAGGGTTCCTTTAATGCATTTTGTTCGAGAGGTGTCACGAGGTAAACGAGCCCATTCGGCGATAATAGCGCGGGCTGGTCCAATCTACTGTGTGCGTGTTTGTGTGCGTACGTGTATATGTAAGGAAACATATTAATAATTATGTAATTATGCACTTAGTGGTAGAAAGGTGCACTAGAAGCCAGATTTCGCTATCGTGTTCAACTCTTAAAGGTGAAGCTTAAGGACCCCCAATTTTTTATATATGTCAGAGGTGGCGCCATCTCTTGATGACAGTCGAACACAACTGATGTCTCCTAGTTTCGACCTTCGACACTACATCTATTCCTCCCTAAATATATACATATTTACACAAAAAATGTTCACATCATGATACATTATACATAGTCCTGAAATCTCGTAGTTTGTCTTAGGTTTTCTTGCGGACCTACGAAGGATTGGTGGCTCACCAGTCGTTTCGGTACCACCAACTGGCGCACAATCACCATCACCTTCCACTGGAGCATAATAACCATCACAATCAATAGATCACCATTGGGAGCAGAGTGCTGGCGAAGCTCAGAAGAGTGAGTCGTTCTTCCAGGCGTCGGTAGACTTCGCATAGCGTTGTTGGAGAGTTCGTTGTCATCCCGTATTAGCGCATAGTGCGGCAAGGCTTCCTCAGGAACTGCAGTCAATTGAGAGGCATTCCACGTGCGACCAGCAGATGGACCAGCGTGCTATTTTCTTGAGAATTTTCAAAGGAGGCCCAAAAGTGGGAGTGCCTTCGGACCAGGGACTGGCTTCTTGACCCTCAAGCACTTTCCAACTTGGAACTTGGGGACTTGGGCAGCTCTCCACCGCTCAACATAATTCCTTGCTTTTACGCTGGCGTTCTTTCACACTCTTCCCATGTGAGGACATCTTCTGAGCGGGATCTGCGAAAAGTTCGCAGTGGTATAGAAAATAACATCCAAAGATGTACCTCATGTGCCGGCTATGTAGAAGCAGGGCCGGAGAGAGTCCAGTGGTACTGTGAGGAGTGGCTGTTTAGATTCTCAAGTACTCTGTAACAGTATTTTTATTGGGCGCTGCTCCAGTATTGCCAACAAGGCGTATGATTTAAGGACACGGGTAGATCTTTGACTTGTCCGTTAGCTTGGGGGGAGATACACAGCTGAAAAGCTGTGTTTGATACTCCTGTCTTGAAGAAAGGACTCAAACTTTTGAGATGGAGACTGTGGTCCGTGATCCGAGACGAGTTACACCAGATAGCCATCCCATACAAATATTGGCAAGAGAAACTCAACCACTGTACTGGAGGAGGCTTCACGGCAAAAACTATTTCCGGCCACTTTAAGAAGTAACACCTACACTACATCCAGACTACAAGTCGCCAGTTCTTCGACGACCATGGGCAGGTTACAGGTGCATTTCTATCACTTATGTTCACCAATTTATATACTGAGAGTTTCACAATGTGCAGTAGGTACGTTGGGCAGTGTAAGTACGAACTTCGCCGTCTTTTGCTTGTTGGGCAATGTAAGAACGAACATCGAAATCATTTGCTTGTTCAAGAAGAACGCAACACGCGTGCAGAGTTAGGTGTGCCTGTTACGAACACTGTGAATTACATCGCAGTGACAATTCGCACTTTTTTTTTCTTTCTTCAGAAGTCTACCTCACCGAATGCTTAGTCTTCTTTAGAAAGAGACCATTCTGCTGCACGTGCGACCCTTCGATTTCGGTGCAGTCGAGAGTACTGCAAGTGAACACGATACTCATATTGTCATTGTGCTATCAAAACATAATCAAAATGCAGATGACTAAAACAGAGACGATGACAACTCAGGCACTTTTACGGGGAAAGACGTGGGGAGTAGATGCAGGTCGGCTAATCGAAGCCTTCTACGACATTTCGGCAAAATTATCATTTTACTTTGCAAAGTGACTTGACCTGGACACTGAGTTTTGTTAAGCATAACTGTGTTTCAGTTGACAAACTCATAAATATTCATTCGCAATTACATAGTAATACGATGTGTCATGATAGGACAGACATATGATTCAACGACAAGTTGCCGTTTGCACCCATACACGTCTCCAGAAAAGAGAAATGCTAGATTGCATCTATATTTCTCAAATCGAGCTATTTAGCACTGAGACAAAATGAGCCGTAATGAAAAAAGTAATACTGTTTTAGACGAATGGAAACCTCCTTAATATGATCTATATCGGGAAAATTCAGCAGTTGCCATGCTTTTCTTCGTAAATTGGACCAAAATAAATGCGGTAACAAAAATAAATACTTGTGCAGCCAGAACATTCTGGCGGTGATTCCTGATCGTCCACGTAAAGAAAACGTATTCGTAAAAAAACGTTAGGAGATTTTAAAGCTTCCCCAAACCCCCCCCCCCCCCCCCCCCCTCCTTTGCCACTTACTCAACTCATCTTTTTTCGTCGCTTCGCGCTGACATGATTTAGAAACTAAGCGCTGTTACAATCACAATATCATTTCTGGGCGCTTTTACAACGAATATTGTCTGGATACGGAAACACGTGTTGCGGTAATTCTCAAGGCTTATCATTCTGTGAGGTTTCCGGCAGGAATCTCGGTCGCAAGTGTTTCAAGTTGGCTCGGCGGCGTGGGCGAAAATGCTTGATGTAGGCGAAACTGCTTGAGGCCCATGCACTTCGATTTTAG